CCTAGGAGGGTGGGGAAGCACTGGGATGGGTTCCCTAGGGAGGGGGTGGAATCTCCAGCTCTAGAGGTTTTTAAGTCCCGGCTTGACAAAGCCCTGGCTGGGTTGATTTAGTTGGGATTGGTCCTGCCTAGAGCAGGGAGCTGGACTTGACCTTCTGAGGTCTCTTCCAGCTCTATGATTCTATTCTATGATTCTTGCATGGGGCTGGATTAACAACTGTCTTTTACAATGAGATCTAATCTTCCCATAAACACTCCAAGTTGCATTACCCTAACATACATGCCATCCGCAGCTTCCCTGGGATATCATTCCAGTGTTTAATTCCTCTCATCACCAGAGAACTGCAAAGGAAGTTGGGTGCCTCGTTTTCTCACACGGTTTTCAACAATCCTAGTGGAAATACACCAAATACTTTCCAAAGGACTGGGGACTAAGAAGATACAATAAAAAATGTAATCTTTATTCCGATGTGATCAATGGGCTGTAAGGCAAATACACAATAACAATTCACAAGCGTAGGAAACTTCTCCTTGAAGGATGTTCATTTACATATTGGAAATCATAAATGATTTTTTTCTTACATCTGAGCCCAATAAAATTTTCGTGTCGTTAAATTGGAAATGAGGAGAAAGAACAAGGACTGGAGGGCAGGTCCTTTAACCCTTTCCGTGATACGGTTTCTCACAACAACCCTCAATCTTCTTCAGGCTCAGATCTCTTGACCACTTTGTTTCCCAGTGTGCACTCTGTGTGCTTTTACAGAGATTTCTAAAACACCTTGGGAAACGAGGCAGCCAGCTCTGACTGACATTCAACAGACGTCCTTCTTCTGACTACCTTGGGCTCATTTGAAATTTTGAAATCACAGTCTGATAGTGGTCAACAAGATGGTGCACAGAAATAATATGTCTTCTTTTAGCTCCTTGGTATCCCCTTCGCATACAAGCGTCCTATGGGGTTGTCCTTCGGTTGCCATAGCAACATGCTTCTCAGGTGGTTATCCACACTAACCTATAAGTCGTTCTCAGAGTCCTTGCCTTCCAGAATAGACTCCCTTCTCTTAATATGGTCTACGAAGAATTGCTCCATAGCCAGATCCCATCAACAGGGAGAGCTTTGTCCAAAGATATCAGATGTTTTTTCCTGGGCTTAGTGATCCCTGTCCAGTGGGAAAGCAGGTGTCATGGTGATTCATGCAGGAATATACACACTTTGAGGTACCAAATATTTGATCCATGAATGCAACCCTGTTGATTTGGCCATGTTTCACCTCCCACGCAGTATGTTCTGCATGGCTTCTTTCATCTCTTTGTTTCTCAGAGCATAGATGAAAGGGTTCAGAAGCGGCGTGACAATGGTGTTGATGATGTTGACTGTCTTGGTCAGCTCCAAAGAGTGCCGCGCAGAAGGCTTGACAAAGAGTAAAATGGTGGATACATACCAGAGGAGGACGACGGCCAGATGGGACGAGCAAGTGGAGAATGCCTTTTGCCGGCCTTTCCTAGAAGGGATTCTCAGGACAGTGGAGATAATGTAGATGTAGGAAAGGAAGGTTATCACACACGAGCCCAGAATGACAATGACCGAGATGGTCAAACCCAACATCTCGATGATGGATATGTCCGTGCAAGAGAGGACAATCAAGGAATCCATCTCACAATGGAAGTGATCGATGACATTAGGGCCACAGAAGGACAACTGGGATATTAGAGAGACCAGAAGAGCAATAAGCAGGAAGCCAGACACCCAAGAGCCAACTGCCAGTTGAATTGACAAGGAGCTGTTCATAATGGTGCTATAACGCAATGGGTAACATATGGCCAGATAACGATCGTAGGCCATGACGGACAGGAGGAAATATTCCGTGGTGGCCAAGGAGAACGTGAAGTATATCTGTAGGAGACAGCCAGTAAAGGAGATGGTTTTGCTTTTCCCCAGAAAGATATCCAGGGCTTTTGGAGCAGAGGCGGTGGTGAACCAGATCTCCAGGAAGGAGAGATTGACGAGGAAAAAGTACATTGGCGTGTGGAGGCGGCAGTACGTCACCACTAAGATAATAATGGCCATGTTTCCCAGGAACGTCACAATGTACATCAAGAGGAAGAGCACAAAGAGGAAGATCTGCAAATACGGACTCCCCGGGAATCCCAGGAGGATGAATTCCGTCACCGCACTGTGATTCTGCTGCGCCATTCAGGCAGTTTTAGCTGCTGAAACCACAGAAACAAGAGCCACAAAATATGCAGGGAGCTTAGCCAGACAATGATCTACAGTTACTACGGCCCTGTTGGGATGTGTTGGGCTTGGCCTGGGTTTCCCAGTGGGGCACCTGCAGCAAAACTGAGACTAGAACCAGGAATGCTGCCGTCCAATTTCTGCATCTAGACGCTCGCCCCTTCACCTCTTTTAGAGCTAGGGATGGAACTCAGCAGTCCTGGACTCCGATTTTTAAGGGAGTCTGATGGACTTGGGTGCCCTGTTCCCACTGGGTTTTGGTAGACACTGGATAAGTACTTTCCTGATCCGCCTTTCAAAACCTAGCCCCTGTGTGCAGTGCTGCACTGCACTGACCTGCCCAGCACTGACATAGGATCCAAGCATCCCAGCTCCCATCTCCCTACTCTGAGCCCCAGAGCCTGAAGCACACGAGGAGCAGGGGACGACTTCAGTCCCAGTATCATGTGTTTGGCGCCAACATGGCTGCTCCGCTGGACGACCACCGCCCGTATTTTGATCTGCAGCAATGAAGTGTCACTGGGTTTGTGTCCACAGTGCAGCCTCCTCAGCCACTTGTGCAGCCTGACAGCTGGAAAAGCAGCCCACAGACGCCCAGAAGGGGAGTGGGAGGGACATTAAACCCCGCTCATCTCAGACCCCTGCCCACCTGTGCAGCTCCCCTGCCTCCCGCGTACGCAGCCCTCCCGGCAACCTAAAGCCATTCTCCCATGTCATTTTTTGTCTCCCTCCAGAGATCTCCAGGGGCGTGGTCTTCACCTCCCAGTCTGGGCATCCTCTTTATGACAGGTCCATTGAGAAATGCTCCGTAAAGGGTTAGTCACGGATATTTCGGCAAATGCTTCAGCAGCTCATCTTGGGCCAGCCACTTGAGATATGGTTCTTACAAACCTGATGTAAAACCATTTCTAAGACTTTGCCTGGCTGTGCTTCTCACCCCCTGCTGACAAACCCGGCTTTAGGTCTTTCGCGGGCTCATCGATAATTCCTGGTTTCCCATATTTGCTCTGGCTAATTTCAAGATTTAGTGTAAGCCTTGCTTTTCTATGTTGATGGATTTAAATGTTCATTGTTATGCAAAATAAGAATGCAAGAACCGTCAAAGATCCATCTACTCCAGTGTCCTGTCTGCCCACAGTGGCCCATGCCGGGTGTCCCAGAGGGAGGGAACAGAAACAGGGAATCATCCAGTGACTCCTCCCCTGTCGCCCATTCCCATCTTCTGGCAAACAGAGACTAGAGACACCCTCTCTGCTCATCCTGGATAACATCTGTTCAGGGAAGAATCCCCCATCAATTTGTCTTTCTCTTTTTTAACTCTGCTACTGAGTTTATGCTCTGCTCTAGCTTTGAGGGTTTCCTTCTATTTGTATCAATTAAATATTCACAGTTGTGCTCAGGGTCAGACAATTGGGGTGTTTCCAAGGGTAATAGTTTAATCACAGTAGATGTTAAGATTCAAAATGTTTAAGGCTTTTAACCACTTAAACAGTATCACCATCGCAAAGCAAATGTGTCCCTGCATAGATCTGCAACACAGTGAGAAAGGGAAAGTGTCCAGAAGCTGACTATGAAATACAAGTGCAATTGTCTAGTATAGTTTCATCCTGGAGAGTGAAAGTAACCTAGAAGCACAGGATTACATGTTCAAAGAAAATACGGGAATTAGGAACCCAAACACATTGAATTTCCGTGGGATTTATACATCTCACCCCACTAAAATCCGTTCAAAATCCAAGCCTAAAAAATACCGCCATAAACAATGAAAGCAAAGCAGACTGCAAAATGTGCTCTGTACAAAGAATTGAAACTAGTAATCATTTGAATGCTCGGAATGAAAACACCACCCTCACATTCTGATTTCATGTGAACCGGTGTAACTCCCAGGTGCTCAGAGCAGACCTACTCACCGTGAAGGGGGCAGGTCTGTGGGTGCATCCTGAACAGGAAACGTCATTGCTGTCACTTCAGAGGCAAAACAAACGTGGTCTCCTACACATGGAGAGAAAAAATGACACGCTGTTTTTATTGGTAAAGAAACAGACAGTAAGGCTGCGTCTCTAACGCGCTTTCGGAACGTGTTCACAGCATTCAAGCCTGCAATCTGCTCTTCTGGTTTGCCATCAAACAGCCTTCATTAATTGTCAGCGTTCACTGAGAATTGAAAAGGAACGATCTCTGTCTTATATGCTGCTGTCTTCTTTCTCTCTCCTCTTCGGCACTTTTCTCCACTCCTCCCTCTTTCTTTTATATCCTCCTCTTTTGTTTTCTAGTCAGGCGATATAAGACTCTTTGACTCAGGAGGGCTTATTCCAGGAGCTCGGAGGCCCCCTTGGGACCCGCTCTTCAGAGACAGTCGCAGACTTTCTCAGAACGAGAGGGAATTGCCTGAGGGACCATTAACCAACTACCTCAAGGGCCAGAGCTCAGAGAAGATGCTCGAATTCCCACCAGCCAGCGTGGGGCTGGTAAACTCATAGGACCGCCTTCCTAGACTTGCCCTGCACCAAGTTCTGAGCAGTTCCCCTGTGGCCTGCAGTTTGCAAAGTCTCCAGGGGCTGGACTTGGCTTCCCAGGGCTTCCCCCTTCCTGCAGACTGGGCTGGGATATGGTTCCTGGCCTGAGCCTTTCTTTGTGGGGTGGTCCCCAGGAGTCAGAGGGTCTAGGGTGGCCCGGGGATGGAAGGGTTCCCACCCTGGCAGTCTTTGGGGCAAGGAGACCACAAACCTGCTCCATTGGCTGGGGACAGGCAGAGCCCCGTCCACCTCTGGCCAGGGCCGGCTCTAACTTTTTTGCCACCTTAAGCAAAAAAATATTTCGGCGCCCCCCCCCCCCCCCCG